ATATATATATATATTATTTTCTTTAAACTCCAGCTTACCTTGTGTATTTTCATATGATTTGGATTGCGATGATTATATGTGGTATGGAAGTAGAACAAGGATAGGTATGGAGTTGTGAAGTGAAGGTCACTTAGTGGTGCTGAAGCTGGATGTCTCTTTTCAAGCTATCCGTTTGGGGAGGTCCTTGTATAGTGATGTATAGATGTTACTCAATCGATAACTTAGATTGTATAGTTTACTTTTGGTTGAATTACTGTATCTATATTGTATATGCATACTTGTTGAGTTGATTTACTGTTATATACATGACATATGATACAATTCAAGTATTAATATACTTGCAAATTCTAAGTTATTATTTAATCTCTACTACTAGTAGTATAGTAGTATAAAGACCTTGATGGATCATTAGATTAATTACATTTCGTCTTCCAAATAAGAGGTCCAATGATAATTGTGTTTGAGAGATATACTCACATTTTTATTTGAACATATCTTAAATAAAATTATTTCTGAAGAAAAGTATAAATAAAAAAATTATTTTTAGATAATAGTAAATCATATGTTGTTGGTTGGTTTAAATACCAACGGAAAAAATATATTTAACTTGATATCGTCTAAATGAATCAGTTTTGTACTGTATTTTTTTTTCTTACCTTGACCTTCACCCGATCATTTTTAATGAATTTTGGTCAAATATATACGAGTTAGGTGATCACCGACACACATTTTTTTTTACAAGATCACAGACACTCATGAAAAATATATTTCTAAGTTTATGAAGTAATTGTTATATCATTCATATATTAAACTTATATTTCTATAATTTATTTATTTATTTATTATTGAATTTAATTTTTTATAGTAATTTTTTGTAATTTATTATATTCTATAACTAAGCTAAAAAAATGCATTATTTAGTAAAAGTTTAAATAATAAATTCAGTATATAAATATGTAAGTCGGAAAAATGTTAAAGTCATTGTGAATGGTTCAAATGGATAAAAGTCCCATTGTGAGAGATGGAAGACGTAATGGTATTTCAAGGTTTAATTTATATATACATTAAAATAATATTTAATTAATAAAAGTCACGTTCTATGAAGATTGATGATTTTGAATATGAATTAGTGGGGCAGCTGTCTAAGACTTCATTGTTGAAGGATACCAAAAAGTATTATTTAGTTTATATAATATAAAATAAATTATATAATTAAATTATTAAAAATTTATTAGAGAAAGGAAAATAATTTTAAGAAAATAAATTAGTAATATTATATGTAAAGAGGAAAGTGTGATATATTATTTTTTTTTCTTCCTTTATTTGTATGAACATTCATAAGTGTTAACATAAAATAATAAAGAAGAGTTGTCTTTAATTTTTTTTTTTTTTTTACCTTTATCCCTAATCTTTTGATTTTCTTTCTATTTTTTAAATCATGGTCTATCTTACTTCGATGAAATCTTGAAATCTAATTATTAATCTCCACTTCTTTGTTGCAAACTTCTATATGATATGTGATCATAACTAATCCATTTTTTGTTGCATAATGGTCTTTGAGGATAATGTATAGTTTATACGAAAGTAAAATACACTTTTAGATTTGAGAGTTGAGATCATAAATAATATTCAAAAATATTTTTTGTAAGAACATTATTTTTTCACTTTGTCTAGTGAAAAAAAAAACTCATGATTGGCCTTGTTTATGAGCATAAATTTGCCTTGGCAGAATGTTAAAAAAGAAGAAGAATGAAAGTAGTATTGTTTGAACATTTCATCTAATTGTGACTTAAGAATTAATGATGATTAAATAGGTTAGCTAGACCCGTTTAGGTCCACTTCGTTACCAATTCATTGAAAATAAGTTGGACTAGATTAGTTTGTCAAGTAAAAACGGACTTGACGTCTTGACCCGTCTTGTTTAAGGATGGATTGGTATGTTGATCGACCAACTTACTAAAAATTAAAAAATATAAAAGAATAAATAAATAAATAAATACTTATTTTGAGTACCTCTTTAATATATATATATATATATATATATATATATATTCTCAATATCTAAAAGATTTACGTTAGTTAGTGTATTTAAATAATAAAATAAATTTTAAATAACAACAGATTTGATTTGCTTTGTTATAAATAAATTTTAAATTTACTACATAATAAAATAAATATTATAATAATAATAATAACTTTTTCAACATATTTATCGCATAAAAAATCTCAAATTATATGTAATAAAATTAAAAAATTATTTAAATTTAACTAAAATATAAAAATATAAAAAACTAGGCAGCCTAATGGACTAATGTATCATGACCTACCATTTGATTGGTGAATTGACGGTTAGGCACCCAACCTATCATTTTTTGACGATCTAAAACATGTTTTATCATCTTTAATTAAAATATTACTTTAAGTTCTATCTAGGTCAATTTAGTAAAGATAAATTATACTCTTTTTTATCTTTATTATAAAATATTTTTAATTGAACAACATTCATTAATATAAATAATTATGTTAGTTAATTTTATTAAATTTATATAACAAGATAATGAATTACCAATTTTACCATTCTTAATATTATTAAAATTTTATGAAAGAGATAAAGATATTATTTTATATAAAGATTTACACACTAATACCAATAGAAAAATGATAAATAATTATTAAAAAATTTAAAAAAAATGAGAAAATACACACTTTTACAATTTGTAATAAAAAATTAAATTAAATTAACATGTTTATAAAAATTATAAAGTGCGAATAATTTTCTCTAAACTGTACTTAGGACAAGAAGGAGTTAATTTTTTATTTAAAGAAAAAACGGCTCTTGGCAACTCACGAGGCCGCCACGACAGTAAAGAGAAGAGAGAAGAGTGAAGAGTGAAGACGATGGTAGAAAGCTCATTTTTAAAAAGAAAATTGGAAGCAATATTAAAATGAAAAGATTAATAAATTAAGCTACTTTATCGTGGCGCCAGTGCTTTATGACGTGTTTCCCTCTCATCCCTTCACGTGAAGGCGCTCTACGCTGTCGTTTAAAGGCACAATCAATCACTGGCTATTACTTTTCTCACTTCTCTTCTTATGCCCTTACCATATCATGAGTATCATCAAAGCATGAATTCGCGTAAACTCGATTCTCTCTGTTGGATTTTATGGAATTGGAGGGATAGGTGAAACAACGACCGCTGTAACTAAGAGATTGTTGTTACAGTTAGTTGTTGTTTTACCTATTCCACCCATTGCATGGATCCCTGTTATGAGGATTAGGGTAATTCAAATTTCTAATTTTTCATCCCAAGAAGGCAAGTATACTGTGCTTTTTCTCTGCTTTTCTATACGGGTAAATTTATTTTAAGATTTTTAACTTTTTTTTTTAATTTATTTATGGATCTGAGAGTTTTAACTTGTAAGTTTTGATGATTGATAGTTTATAACAGATGTCTGATAGTTATGTAATTGCTGTCTCCAATTTGCAAGATCTGTTATCTCAGAGTTGTGAGATTAAGTTAAGTTCTTTTGTTTTTTGTTTTCTACCCTATGCTTTTCTATGTTGATTTTAAGATTGTTGATTGGATATTTTTTGTTTTTGTTTATTTTTTTTTTTTTTTCGCCAGAAGTTCATGGATCTGAGTGTTTAAAGTTTGTAATAGAGATATCTGATTGTGGTCTATCTGGTCTTCCCAGTTTAGAAGATCTGTTATCTCAAAGTTGTGAGATTAAATTAAGTAAAACAGAGAAAAAGATTGAATTGATTTTTTCTGGCTTTCTATACTTAATGGATTGTTTTTTTTTGTGTGTGCTTATTGGGTATTTCTCCCTTCTCCACCTCCTTTTTTCACCAGAAGTTCATGGATCTAACTATTTAACGTTTTGATTATTGTTAGTTTATGATGGATATCTGATTGTCGTGTATCTGGTTCACCATTTAGAAGATCTGGTATTTCAAAATTGTGAGATTAAATTAAGTACAAATCTTGGATGGTTTATCTTGCATTTAGGTAGCTATATCTATTTTTTTTCAGAAATTTCTTCGGAAAGGTCTTGCATGTTTCGTCATCATAGAAGGATGTTGCTTTATAAAGGAAGTTTAAATCGGTTTGTTGGGAGCTTGTTGAAGAAATTAAACGGGTACCACCCACCATAGGAACTTTCTCTGCACCAAAGATTAAGAATGTTGCTTCTTGAGGAAGCTTTATTTGGATGATTTGTGAGAATATTAAAAAAAATTGCCAGAATTCTGCCAAATATAGATCTTTTGTTTGCACAAAGCTGCATATCATTTACTTGCCCCGGTATATGCATGTTAATGCTATTAAGTTCTGCTTTATTTGTTAATTTGTTTGATTTAATAATTGGGGTTTAGTTTTACTCAAATTTTGCATACGGTAGATTGCTGAACTTACAATTGACAGGAACAGCACGTGGTGGTTATCTGATTTTGGAACAAGTTCCCTCCCATATCTTTCTGCTTTTAGTTTTTCATTTTCTACCTTGTATGTTTTATTTCTCAATTGATCATCAATGACATTTGAGTGTATAAAGGGGTCCAAAGAGGATGGGAAACATTCATGTATGTATTTTGGATAAAAAAACAGACAAATTTTGAAGATGATGTGGTCCATGTGGGTGAAGTACTTCTAGAAAATGAATGATTGAATTCCATGTTTTAAAACAAAAACTCGCATGGAGGATATGCATTTAACCTATCCTTATCAAAAGAACCAAATTAAATTATGGATCTGATAATTGGTAATTTGCCGTTATTGCAAATGCACATGGAACACGGCAGCGAGCATGTTTCATTACATTATTCTCTATCAATGAAGTCATTTATCAATGTGAATTGGGGTCAAAATTCAATGGCATCAATGTGGATAAGTAGCTATTCCAGTGTTCTAATATATATGCTTGAGGCATTTCCTTTTTTTTTATAATTATTTTTATTTACTTTCATCACTACTAAATTTTGTTTCCCTATGTATTTCGCTACTCTACAAAAATGAACGAAGCAAAAAATGTAAGGAAAGGATATTGAATACGATTTGTAAATATCTGTAAGCGATCCATACTATTGATGTAGTTTGCTTGTAGCAACATCCTATTTTAGACTTCCTACCATAGTGAAATTCTAATGGCTATTTAATTCTAAAATAGTGAAATTTTAGTATTCACGAGATTTCAGTAAAACATAATTTGTTGCTATTTTACATGCATATTTATCTTAAGAAGTTGAATTTGATCTAATGTTATTGAAATGTTTTTCCTTAATTAATTAAAATTATTTTAAGGGTAATTCTCAAAATAACTACTATGACAGTTAATGATTTTATTATGTTTTAGTTCTTACAAAATTAGCTAATTCTAATTTTGGTCTTTGTAATTTTTTTATTTTTTATTTTTCATCTCTTTAAAAGTGAAATTAATATTTTTACTCTCTATTTATGTGATATTTTTAATTATTTTTTTATTAAAAGACTAAGTGACAATTTTAAGTGTTATTTATAATTATTAATGATATAGTTATTAATTAATGATATTATGTGAGTGTTTGACATATCTATATATTTGTGTAGATCCTTAAAATGATTATTATGTTTATCTATTTTAAAAGAGGAGCATTCACATATTCTAAGAATAAGTTTATTTAGGTCAGTTTTATTTAATAATTTATATTTTACATCAAATTTTAATGATTCAACTGTTGAATAGAATGTTCTCGATACATAGATCAAGTTAAATAAATTTTTGAAAAATTTAAAAATTATTTGATACTATGTTTTGTTATTTCAAATTAATGTATAAAATATTTTTATGATTATTTGCCAATTTGAATTAAGGAAATAAAGTAATAAATAGTTTTAAAATTTTTTAAAAATGTATAGACTTGATTTATGTATTAAGAATTTTTAATTCTAAGTTGGATTGTTGAAATTTAATGTAGAATATAAGTAATTGAGTGAAGTAAATTTAGATAAACTTACTCTTAAAGTAAGTGAATCTCTCCTCATATTAAAATAACTATTAGGAACCAAAAATAGTGATTTTAAATTTTAAAGAGAGTAAAATCAAAATTTATTTATTAAAAATAATGTTCATAAATTTAAAAAAAAATAAAAATTGAAACAAAAATTAAAATTTATTCATTCTACTAAAAATATATTTAAGTCTTTTACTATTTATAATTGTTGTATTGTGATATACAAATAGTTATATTTAACTTGTTGATTAAGGAGCAATTTACAATTCTTGACTAATTGCTTTCTGATTTAATCATCTAAACAAAATATTTATAGTTTTTTTTTAAATAAATTGAATTAAACATAAATTAAAATATTAGTTTATAATTTTTAATTTACCTTTTAAACATAAGCTCTGTTGAATAAGAAAAATATAAAAGCTAGTAAAAATTCATTAAGATCAATTGTTTTTTTCAACTAGAGGATTACTGTATAGGTTCAAATCGCAAACTAGTTCAACTCCCCATTGTAGCTACTCAACTAGCCTTTACGCGTCAGGAGAACTTCTAGAGAGTTGTTCACCAAGCAAGAAAAATGGCGTTAGAAGTGTTAGATCAAAAGATAATCTATGACTATTTAAAAGTTATGTTTTAATGTTAACAAACTTAGACATCTATAAAATGATCACTTATTTAAGATGATAGTAAGTCAAAGACGATACTAAACAATGAAATGCATGATAATCTTTTAGATTGAACATTTTTTCTCTCAAAGACAAACCACTAGAGGCCAACCCTCTACCCAAATAGTTCAAACTATACCCCTTCAAATAGGAATCTTAGCACCCAATCTCAACCACAAACAACTAACCTAAACACAAACTATAACACCCCCTTAGAAAATAAAAAACGTGCTCTCCACCACCGAGACCTACCCAAATACAACGTGCCATCACCATGATTGATTCATCTTCTAATTCAGATGACAAGTCCATATCCTCTTACCTTGGCCGTAAACCTACCACCTATGCACCCCACACAAAAACCTCCTAAAGAAGCACCCTAACAAGCTCAAACAAATAGGAGATGATTGATACAAAGGCTTCCAGTGCCAGAAATCAAGTGTTAAGAAGTGTTTAGCTTGAAGAAAGCACAACCGTTTTGCTTGGAGGAAGAAAAGCAACACAAGTAGAGAAAATTTGAGCTTGCAATTAAAGAAGGAGCCATTCTTCAGATAGTGCTAGTAGCATCTGCTGTTGAGGCCACTCAAAAGGCGAAGGAATTGAAGCTTGAACAAGCCCTAAGGAAGATGATGTTTAAGGACATCATATGGTCTCTATGTCAAATGTATACTCTAAATTTTTCTATGCATCACCCTCACTAACACTCTAACACGACAACAATTACAATGATTGTATTATGTTATTACTATTATTATTATTATATTAATATATTTTATAATATTATTATTTATTAATTACCTTACCTTCTATCTTCTTAGGTTTTGTTAATTTATCTCATTGATATTGGTCTAGTTCTCCATGCTTTATTATTTTTTTAATATATTTTTGTGTTTTGTAGATGATTGATAGACTTTAGGATTCCAACCTTATTAGGATGCTTTAGTTCTATAATAATGTCATGCACACTTAAGCTTCATTCAAAAAAACAAAAAAAACCTTAGCCTCATTTTTTTTGTGATAAGTAAGAGAGATTAAGATTAAAAGGGAGTACAAGGGGTACTCCAACCCGTTACAAGAAACACAAAAACATAAATATAAATAAAAAATTAAAGTCAAAACTATGAGAAACATAAATTCGGGTTATGATACCAGTTAATGTAACTAAAAGAACATCCAGGGACACAACTAGTTATCCACTTCCATGAACGCAGTTTAATGTTGTCCAACAGTTCCTTGCAATCCGAAACACCTTGCTGAAATGTGATCACATTTCGATGAAGCCATAATGACCATATAACAGAAACCCAAACCACCAAAAAACACTGATAACGTTTTTTATAAATACCAAGATTTGTCCAATATAAATAAAAATAAGTTAAAGAATTAGGAATGACCATCGCCACCTCCAACCAATTGGCCACAGCTAACCAAGTATTAAAAGCTACAGGGCACATTAGAAAAAGATGAAGAAGGTCTTCAACAAATAGAGAGCAAAAAGAACATAAATTGTTATCCAACTACTTGTAACAAAAATACCTGCCAACAAAACACCAGACACTTGATCAGAGCCTTGCTTTTCCAAAGACTTTTTATAATTTGTTGAAAATATGAAGAACATGTAGGTTCTCCACCCAAAAAGCGCTGGAGCCAAAGGTATACACTTTTCACCGAGAATACTCCGTCCTTATCACAAATCCATCTCCAATAATCTTGCTTAGAAGGGAAAATCTGTAAACCTTGAAGCATATCCAACAAGGAATTCACACTACTAACTTCATGGATAAAAGGTTCTCTTCTCCACTTAACCTGCCACACCCACTTAGATCCCTCCCAAGTTCCATTATGTGCCACCATTGACAAAGGATCAATGGAAAAGGAGTACAAACGAGGGAAGGCATCCAATAAGCGGAAACCACCTAACCACTTATCCTCCCAAAACCGGGTCATAGTGTCATCACCAATACAACGATCAATTTTTTCATTAACAAAAAATTTCCTTGTTATAGCACACACACTATATCCTTCCACCACCAAGAAGCCCTCCTATCCACATCAGAGCAATTAGAAAAGGACTCAATGCGCTCATACCTACTATGAAGAACTTTAGCCCACAACATCCCCAGAGAAAGCATGTTCTTCCACACCCATTTTCCTAGTAGTGCCCAATTGAACAATCTTACATCTTTGATTCCTAGTCCACCCTCAACCTTAGACTTACACACCATTTCCCATTTTACCCAAGGAATCTTTGAGCCATCCTTGACACCTCTCCACAAGAAATCACGTTGAATGGCCACATTTTCCTTAATCACTGAGTTCGGTGCTTTATAAAATGACAAAAAATGGATGGGCATAACATTCAGAACTGAATTAATTAAGGTCACCCTCCGCCCAATAGACAAATGCCTATGCTTCCAAGAGGATAGACGCTTTCGTAAGCCATCAAGTATTGGTTTCCAAGTAGACAACTTCCTAGGATTTGCACCAAGAGGTAAGCCCAAATGCTTAAATGGTAGTTGACCCACCTTATAATGTAAAAAAATAGCTGCCAAATCAATGAAATCTGCCCCTGAATGGATACCAACCACGCAGCTCTTATGGAAATTTATTTTCATACCTGAAATTAACTCAAAACAGCGCAAGATGACCTTTAAACACCACAAATTCTTCCTAGTAGCTTCTCCAATAATCAAAGTATCATCTAGGAACTGTAATAGAGAAATCATTGGACCTTCACCACCCAAGTTTAATCCCGTAAACAAATTCAAATCTAAAGCCCTAGTCATCAACAATCTAAGACCTTCCACAACGATCAGGAATAGAGATGGTGCTTACGGGTCCCCCTACTTTAATCCCCTACCAATAGATACTTCCGCGGTAGGACTCCCATTCACAAGGGCTGATAGAGTACCCCCATATACACAACCTTCCATCCACCGGACCCATCTCTCATCAAAACCGCACCCTCGAAGCATGAACAACAAATAGTCCCATTCAACAGAGTCATATGCCTTCTCATAATCAATCTTCATAACAAAAATCGACTTCTTATATTTTTGAGCATAATCAATGGCCTCGGCAGCAACTAGAACACTATCCAACATATGTATACCAAGAATAAAAGCATATTGATTTTATGAGATAATTGATGGAAGAGTACCACGCAATCTATTCGCCAATACCTTAGAAATAATTTTATACAAGTACCCAAGCAACGAAATAGGATGAAAATCAGTCATACCTTGAGGGCAGGAAACCTTGGGGACCAAAGCCACAAAATAAGACAAAAGAGCCTTTAGGACCTTCAAGTTAGTATGAAACTCAACAAGCAAATCCATCACATCCCTCTTCATAAGAGGCCAAAATCTCTTCAAAAAAGCAAAATTAAAACCATCAAGTCCTGGGCTTTTATCGCCATCACTCTCTCTAATCAAACACCACACCTCCTCCTCTGTAAAGTCACCAACCAACATTGCATTCTACGCATTAGACACCACAGGAAAACCAACTAGTGACATTCTCGGTCTAAGCCAATTTCTGGCTTTGAAATGCTCCTCAAAATATGACATCACTACTTCCTTAATCTCATAAACCTCCTCTACCATACGCTCACCCATCTTCAAAGCAATAATCTGGTTACGACGCTGGCTTCCCCTTATACAAGCATGAAAATATTTAGAATTTAAATCACCATATTTACCCCCAACGAACTCGCGCCTTTTGAGCTAACAAGCTTAGTTTGTTCCTCCGAGCACACCAAATACCATCTATTAACTCTTTTTGCCTACTCCTTTCTGATTCTGCAAGATAATATTTCTCATTCTTCGCATCCAGTTCCTTTAATTCTTTAGTCAGACTTTTTTATCTTGGTATCCACATTACCAAACACCTCAATGTTCCACTTCTTTAGAGCAATTTTGACATTCAAGAGCTTTCCTCGTAATCTTTGGGCGGCCCACGAACCTTGGACCTGTTTCATCCATGCAGACCTCACTACACTGTCAATACCCCTATGAGAAAACCAACAATTATTAAAGCGAAACGGTTTAGGGCCCTAGTTTAGCACCTTATGGTTCAAAATCAATGGACAATGATCAGATACATCACGCAGAATCACCTCCACAAAACCTGCGCCCCAGTGAGCACTCCAACTTTCTGAGACCAATACTATCCAACTTGCTCATCATAGAACCATCACTCCTAAACCAAGTAAATCGCTTCCCAACCAGTAGTTACTATACGAATTATACCTAGACACATGTTGCACGTACCCCCTGATAATTCAACTTCTTCACTTTTCGGCTAGTTTTAAAGTTATTGTTCAATTTGTCTTAGTCTAAGGCTAAAAAATAAAAAAAATTCTAACATTTATTTTCACTTAACATTTTATTAGCATGTTGACATTAAAGTTGAGAAAAAAAAATACATAAAGACCACTTGATAATATTTGTAATTTATTAGACAATTTAATTATCTACTATCTTAATTTTAAATGTTAAAATATTTAAGCTTCAAATGTGAAACTATATTTAATTACTTTAATTTTATATTTCTTACAATAATTTTTTATTTGCATTTGAATGTTTTTTACTCTTATATATTTTAACTAATATATTTTTATATTTTAAATAAATACCTACCATCTTTTTTTTCTTCAAGAAAAAATTATACCAAATAATTCGGTATTAACTGGTTTGGATCACAATACTTTTAATAAATCCGGTCCAAATTAAATCAATCAAGATTGATTAATCCTGACTTTACCTTACTCCAAATTCACATCAAACCGATCCATGAATATTTCCATTTTCAATATATAAATGACAACAATCAACACGGTGAGAGGGACATTAGCTCGTGACCTATGATGAAGAACAACATTTTTTCGAAGATAAATCTGCAAAATTAATTATAATTAAATATATGAAAAAATAGTATATGTAATATCAACTTTTTCAAAATAATTATTTTAAAAATTATTTCTATCATGATTTATGAATTCTGGTAAAATGAAAAAAATAAGTTTACGTGAATTGTATTCTAGATATAATTTGTTATCGATTAATGCAGTAAAAAAATGTACCTAGCTACATCCAGGGACGGATCTACATGGAGGGGAGTGGACTCTGGAGGCACTTACGCTACTACCATTTTATATATACATATTTTTTTATAAAAAAAAAATATTTTAAAAAATAAAAATTATATTCTAATAAAATAAACATATATATTTAAATTATTATATATATAAAATTAATTCTCATATGTGATAAAAATAAATATTCCTTAATAACGAATCAATTTTTTTAAAAGTTTAATTATAATATGTATACACACACACATATATATATATATATAATATTAATGCTCATATATAATGTAATATATTTAAAAAAAATTAATTTTTGATAAGATAAAATTTGTAGCATATATGTTTACCTTTTTGTGCTTTCTATTTATTATATACGTTGATTAAAAAAATTAAAATAGTAAAGATTGTAAGATTGTATACATTGATTAGAAAAAATCAAAATAGGAAAAATTGAAAGATTTATGTTCTATTTAGAATTTTTATTATAAAATATGTTTTAAAATGAATTATCATCTAAAAATTTATAATAAATATTAAAAATATATTTATATCATAAATAAATTAAACTAGATTTTTATACAATTTAACATATTTATTTTTATATTTTTATTAGTGTTAAATTATTATAAAGTAGGTCTTTAAAATTGTTGTTCTGGTCAAACATTTAAAAATGTCTATAATAGATAAATAAGTTATATTTATAAAATGTATTTTTTTAAAAAAGTTAGATTTAAACCTATTAAATTATAATATAACTTAATTTGACCTAATTTATTTTTATTCTTAATCATAATTATAGATATAAAAGTTTGTAAAAAATAATTATAATATATTTATATTTTTAAAAATTATATACAAAATTTTAATACTATAAATATATAAATAGTACTGCCCTTACTATTTAAAATTTCTAGATCCAGACTATTTAAACATTTCTCTTTTTATACAAACAAATTTCTAATTAATTTACATTAACAAATTCCAAATCTAACTTCTTGTTCACGATGGAGCCCATTCATTCCTTTTTGTGTTCGACATATCACTGAGGGGTTGACTTGAGGAAACACCTTTTCTCACGCGTTTAGTACATTAATGTTTTGCTCCCAAATCATTTCCTCTGCTTCTGTCTCTCAGCCCCGCTCTCAGTTTTGCTACATTACTCATTCGTTTGTCCATTTTCCCTAAGTTTCCTTCTTGTCTTGGCCGGTATAATACTTCATATCATTAATCAAGGTTTCTTTCTTTTTTTTTTTTTACGCCATATTTAATTTTTTTTATTAACAATAATATTAATTGTAGTTTAATTCATACTGCTCGACTTTGAGTTTTTGATTTTTAGGTAATTTGTTCGAGTACGATGTCTTCTGTTTCCTTTAGCTATGGCTGGAACTATGATGTGTTCCTCAGCTTCAGAGGTTCTGATACTCGCCATGGCTTTACCGGTCATCTCTATAAAGCTCTATGCGATAGAGGAATCCACACTTTCATTGATGATGAGGAGCTTCAAAGAGGCGAAGAGATCACACCATCACTGCTCAAGGCAATTCAAGAGTCTAGGATTGCCATTCCCGTCTTCTCTAAGAACTATGCTTCTTCCACGTTTTGCTTAGACGAACTTGTCAGCATCCTTGCATGCTTTAAGGAAAAGGGTCGCTTGGTTTTACCAGTTTTCTATGATGTTGACCCTTCTCATGTGAGACATCAGATAGGTAACTATGAAGAAGCACTGAATAGCCATAAGGAGAGGTTTAATGACCAAGAGAAACTGCAAAAGTGGAAGATTGCTCTGCGTCAAGTAGCTGATTTGTCTGGTTATCATTTCAAACATGGGTAATGTTTTACCTTTATTTCTTTCTTCTTTTTTATTAGTTTTAGTTTGTCTATCGATTTGATATATTGATGAAATTCATGGATATGTGTTTCGTTTTGTATGACATCACTTAATTGTACAGGGGTGAAAATGAGTATGAATTTATTGGGAAGATTGTTATAGAGGTATCACAAAAAATTAATCGCACTCTTTTGCATGTTGCGGATTATCCGGTTGGATTAGAGTCTCCATTGCTACAAGTAAATTCGCTTTTGAATATTGAATCTGGTGGAGTCCATGTGGTAGGTATCTACGGAATTGGAGGAGTAGGCAAAACAACGATTGCTCGAGCAATTTATAATTTGATTGCTGATCAATTTGAAGGGTTGTGTTTTCTTGATAATGTTAGAGAAACTTCAATTAAACATGGATTGGTGCATCTCCAAGAGGCAATTCTTTCTAAATCAATTGGAGAGGATGGTATTAAGTTAGGAAGTGTAAATGAAGGAATTCCAATAATAAAGCATAGGCTCCACTTAAAGAAGGTTCTTTTGGTTCTTGATGATGTTGACAAACTAGATCAGTTGCAGGCAACGGTTGGAGGGACAGATTGGTTTGGTTCCGGTAGCAGAATCATTATTACTACTCGAGACAGGCATTTACTAAAAAGCCATGGGGTTGAAAAGACATATGAGGTAGATATGTTAAATAAGAAAGACGCTTTTAAATTGCTCAGTTGGAGTGCTTTTAAAACTGACAAAGTTGATTCATGTTACCAGAACATTTTAAACCGTGTAGTAACTTTTACTTCTGGCCTTCCATTGGCTTTGGAAGTAATAGGTTCAAACTTGTTTGGAAAAAGGATAGAAGAATGGGAATCTGCTTTAGATCGGTATGAAAGAATTCCCAATAAAAAGATTCAAGATATACTTAGAGTAAGTTTTGATTCTTTAGAAGAAGATGAGCAGGACATTTTTCTTGATATTGCTTGTTGCTTTAAAGGATATGCTTTGACATATGTAAAAGAAATACTTTCTAATCATCACGGTTTCCGCCCAGAATATGGTATAGGAGTGTTGATTGACAAATCTCTCGTAAAAATTGATGCATGTGGTTGTGTGACATTGCATGACTTGATAGAGGACATGGGTAAAGAAATTGTACGAAAGGAATCGCCTGAAGAGCCTGGAAAACGCAGTAGGTTATGGTGTCCTGAAGATATAGTTGAAGTCTTAGAAGAAAATAAGGTGAGACTATCGTGTAATTGGTTTGGTTTTTCAAATTTTAACCTTTATCTCTTGTGGTTATTATGCGCTAGTCACCTATATTATAGTACAATTATTCCTCTATTTAAAATTGTTTTTGACAATGTTACTTTGCTATTTGTTGCTTTCTTTTCATGATGTGCAATCATTTTTACATATGTATGTTAACTTCCAACCATATGTGTTGTGGTTGACTTGTGCTTTTGACTCTAATAGGGAACTAAAAGAATTCAAATCATAAATCTGGATTACCTCAAATATGAAGTAGAATGGAATGGAATGGGCTTCAAGGAGATGACTAACCTCAAAACACTTATTATTAGAGATGCTATCTTTACCAATGGTCCGAAACATCTTCCAAATAGTTTAAGAGTATTAGAATGGTGGAGATATCCTTCATCGTCTTTGCCATTCGAGTTTCATCCAAAGAAACTTGTCATTTTACGGTTACCATATAGTTGCTTTTGCTCAAGGTCTCTTGATTTGTTCATGTCGAAGAAGGTAAACAGAAAAGTATTCTTCTTTAATTCTATATCAATGAATTCTTTTGAACATTACTCATTTATTCCTCTTTCTTTTTCTTTTAAATGGCAGATGTTTGTGAATACGAGAGTTTTGAATTTTAATGGTTGTCACTATATAACAGAGATACCTGATGTATGTGGAGTTCCAAATTTACAAGAATTATCATTTCGCTATTGTGAGAATTTAATTAAAATTCATGAATCAGTTGGATTTCTGGATAAACTTAAAACCTTGGACGCAGATGGATGCAGCAAGCTTAGGAGTTTTCCACCTATCAAATTGACCTCTCTTCAAGAGTTATGCCTTACATGTTGTCCTAGTCTTGAGAGTTTTCCAAAAATATTAGGAAAGATGGATAGTTTAACTTACCTTTGTATTAGAGGAACTCCCATAAAAGAACTGCCAGTTTCAATTCAAAATCTCACTCAACTTGGATTTCTTGAACTGATGAGTTGTGGAATTGTTCAATTACCAAGTAGCATTTTTGCCATGCAAGAACTTCGTTATTTAACTGTTAGCAAATGTGAGGGATTGCTACTACCCAAAGAGGACGAAGGAGAAGCACAAATGAGCTCAACGGTCATTGAAAACATCATTGATCTTAAAGAATGTTGTTTTTTGACAAATATTCAATTGCTAGGTTGTGGGAATATTCAAGAAATTAGAGGGGTGCCACCTAACATAGAAACATTCTACGTGAAAGATTGCTCATCCTTGAAAGATTTAGATCTCACACTTCTTCCTAAATGGACCCAAGAATTTCACTGTTTAAGGAAGCTTCATTTATATGGATGCAACAATCTTCAAAATATTAAAGGGATCCCAGCGAATATAGAAGTATTGATGGTAAATTTGTGCCCATCCTTGAAAAATCTAGATATTACTCTTCCTCCTGCATGCACCCAAGAATGTCGCCTTTTGAGTACACTTAATTTGGATAATTGTGAGAATCTTCAAGAAATAAAAGGGGTTCTTTCCAACATTAGTTTTTTTTCTGCAAGAGATTGTCAATCTTTAACTTCTGACTGTAGAAGCAAGTTACTGAATAAGGTTTTATTTCCTCTATATTTGACTTTGATAATTATATTTCACATTAACTCATGCTCTAAATATATATGTTGCTAAATGTCTGAAATCTGAATGAATTATGACTAACAGGAATTGCATGAGGCTGGTGGATGCAAAGAGTTTTGTTTGCCAGGAACAAGGATTCCAGAGTGGTTTGAGCATTGTACCAATGGTTCATCAATTTCCTTCTGGTTTCGTAACAAGTTCCCTGCAATATCTGTGTGTGCTGTTATTAAACCCAGAGAATATATGGACATTTGGCCAGTATTTACCTTCAATGGAAAGAAACAATTATCAGGGGAGGTGTTCTATTTGAACCATGTGGCTGACCATCTGGTTATTTTTGATCAAAAACAGAAATCATTTGATATGCGTGGAATTCTTTGGGAAAATGAATGGCATCATGTGGAATGTACTATAGACCCACCCAAAATTTTAGTCGAAAAAATTGGAATCCATGTATTCAAACAAGGAAGCAACATGGAGGACATTGAATTTACCAATCCGCAGTTGCTGATAGAGGAGGATTTTTCAAACCTTTTTACCTATTTAGGATTCTAATCATTTTGCTGTAAATGAAAGAGGAGGATTTTTGTATATCTATCTATATATAGATAGATACATATCGATATCCACTTTAGTGAGATCAACATAAATTATGTTTGTTATTGACAAATCTATTTTGAAAATTTAATCAATAAAAAAAGTTTTTATTTTCCTTATATTTTCGATTTACAGATCTTGATATGAATCTAGATTATTAGAAATATTCGAATTTGTAGAAATATGAAATAAAGAAAAAAAAGAATAGCATTTAGGGATGTTTTAGATTTTGATTCTTCCGTATCAGAGCGCATCAATCATTTCTGGAAGATCATATATTGGTTAATGCGAGTCATGGTGTTGTTCTATATGGGACGGTAAGGTCTCTTTCTTTTGATAGATAATAAAAGTTTATGAATTTAGGACAAATTCAATGGTGTTGGTTGTCAATTATGACTTATGAGTCTTTATTGGCTTGTTTCAAATTTCAATTATTATTTAATATTTTGTATTCCTTCAACTCAACAAATGTCCTGTGCCTCTAATCAGATCTGGGAGAATTTTTGGAAGCTAATGAGGAGAGGAAATCTTCGGCCGAAGTGTTTAAATTTGATGTGGCATGCGTGCCAAAATATACTACCTGTGAGAGCAAGTCGAGTGGAAAGTCAAGATACAATAGACCGAATCTGCCCCATGTGTGGTGAAGCAGAGGAAACAGTAGTCCATGCTCTAATTACTTGTCCTGAGGCTCGTTAGGTATGGTTTGCTTCACCCTTATGTCTACGAATTGACCTGGTAACTGTGACAACTATCTCTCAATGGGTTAATGCCTGGTTTAAGAGAAATGATTATGTAGCAGTCCAATTGGTTTCCACATTACTTTGGTCAATATGGAATAGAAGAAACCAATGGGTCAATAAATGCAGAAGCCTCACAATCTCGCAGGTTCTATCCGAAGCAGCAAATTTGATGATGATACCTGAGCGAACCTGGAATCTAACTGACTTCCCTTTAGTAATTTGGAGACCGCCACCGGTGGATTTTGTTAAGGCAAACTTTAATGTCTCAGTTAAGGAAGGACAAGGAACAAGACTGGGTGCTGTGTTTCGAAATCATGATGGGAGCATTATAGCGGCTGCTACATACTTCATACCTTGCTGTATGAATGTCATGATAGCAGAAGCACGTTGATTTAGGTGGGTATTAGATGTTGCAGAGGAGTTGGGGTTATCATTTCAAAGGGTTATATTTGAATCTGATTGTCAGATGTTGAAAGAGATACTCAGTGATATACCGTGCCACCCATGGAACCACGAATCTTTGGGGGACTGCAGCTACTTGGTAGAAATAACGAATGATTGCATTGAACGCTTTCATCCCCAGGATCACAGTGTGAGTTTTATAAGAAGACAGGGCAATTTATTGGCAAATAAGTTATCAAGTCTAGCTTTTGTGTACCACGATATGCTTTGGGTTAAGGACATTCCTCACCAAGTGATGGAAGAGCATGCACCAAGGGTCCAACCACTAGAGCTATGGCAAGGAGGTTACTTGAAGATTTGACTGCTTCAGAGCTTAGTGAGCCCAATAGACTTCATGGGCCTAGGGTACTCTTCACTTAGGCCTTACATGGATGATCATCTTTTATTGTATTTTGAGTAGTATATGATTCACATATTTTGGTCTTGTATTTTGGACCACATAGATTAGTATTTTGGGCTTTAGGCTTATTGGGCCTAGTTTTGGGCTTCATGGGCCTTTGGGCTTTTGGTACCTAATATTGGGTTCATTTTGATTCTTGTAATTTTTCATTTATCATTGTATTTGCTTGGCCATTGTATTTAGGCCATTAGAATAGAAAAATGGAAGGATTACTTAAATAGGCTAATTAGGCTAAATTAGATTTAATTTGGAAGACATTTAAGTTGCATTTGAGTCACATATTTTGCACCACTTGTGGCTGAACATGTACACCTTCAAATCAACCCTAAATGCTTCTTAAATTAAATTTAGATGCATAGAAGCGCCTAGGATCACGACTAAGCACATGGGAGTTGAAGATTTGAATTCAAATTCAAATTTGAATTCAAATCTAGGCGCCAAATGTGTTGCTTGAGCCTTGGTGCCACTTGCAACCAATCTGAGCCTATAGAAGTCTTCTTCTATCACTCATATATCCACTTTCGAACATATATGAGAATTTCTGAAATTGAGTTCAACCAATTCTCTCCCAAAAGTCACCGAAAGCCATTGGCCTTAGTCTTAGGAAAATCTTCACTCCTAAAGCTTGACCGTGAGCTTTCATTTGCCTCTCTTGCTTGGATGCTTCCATTCCTAGCTTAGGGAATTTCTTATCTTCTTGTTCATCTCTTCCAAGAGTCTTTTCGGAATCAACCTCAAGAAGAAGATCCGTAGCATTTGGTGAAGGCTAAAGAAGCAAGCTCATCCAGTTCTCCAACCTTCCACCACCATTTTTGGTATCATGAGCATGGCTACTTCTTTGAGGTTAAGTAACTCTTTCCACCGATTGAATTCTGTTCTAGTGTACTAAATTTGTCACATCTTGAGTTTCCTTGTGGATCTATATTTTTGAAATCAATTCCTTATAGATCCAAGTGTTGATTGCATTTTTGTTTCAAATCCACAATCAATAGTGTTCTAGGATTCAACTTGTGCCAATTTTCTTTTGATTGAGTCAATTTTTTGTGTTCATATTTGATTCGGCCATCTTGAGTCATATGCATGTGATTTCTTTTAATTTTTGAATCTTAAGTTTGTCAAGTCATGTTTAGTTCTTGAAAATGTCAAAACAATTCAAGGTATGCTTGTAATCTTATGCTGAAATTTTTGAGTCATTTTTTTAGTCTTTGGCCGAGACTAGTTTCACCATATATGCTTTTGTTTGGGTGCTTTTTCTTTGAAAATTTGAGTTTATATTCACTATTAGATCATTGGTAAATTCTTTAGATTTAGGTTTCCATTATGTTTTGATGAGTTTTCAAATTTTAATTTGCTTCCAATAGTGTCATTGAAATTCTTGTTTGAGAAAGTAGAAATTCATTGATCTAGTGACTTGTCTTGGTTCATCTTCACAAAATTTTGGATCATTTGAATTGCTGGAAACAGAGTAAAAACAAAGATATTTGATCTCAATTTGTTATAGCAAAGAAAAACAAGGCAAAACAAAAAGAAAATTGAAGCCAAGCATGAACTGTGCATTGAACTTTGAGTTTTTTTACTTGTAGTTGATTGAAAACTTTTGATTCGGTTGTTTAAAACTTGTTGCATTATTTGTGGATGTAAAAGGCAAAATTACTTCTCTAGATTGATAAAAAAATTGAAAGAATCAAATATTAAAAAAAAAAGTACCAAAAGCCAAGAAGAATAAAAGATAAGCAAAACCACAAATCAACAAGCATTGTTTGGAATCAAGCAACTACTAATACTCTTTGTGTGTCTTCTAAATTTCTTTTGGTTTTCTTAATCCATTCTAGTGCCTTTCTAAGACATTCCTTTTGAGTGCTAGCTTTCTTGAGAGTCTTAATTTTCAGTTTTTATTTCATTGGCTATCTTTGAGTCTTGTTAACATACACTTGATTCTTTATTTGGTATAAGCTTTGCTAATTGTGCTTTTGTTGTTTGTCCAAGTTTTCTTTCAAAATTTGTTGGAAGTGGCCTCAAATCCTTGCAAGAGAATCAAACATTGACTCAACAGGATTAGGAGAGGAGTATTGGTAGGCCTAAGACCAAATTAAAGGACTTAAAAATTTGACCTAATTTGGTGACCTAAACATCTAAATTTCCATCACAAGAGTGAACCTTCCTAATCATTGTGAGGAGCCATTGTTTTGTTGTGTTCTTTTTGTTTAAACGGTGCAGGTTGCAATGATAATCAAGGACTTCAAGAATTGGAACGGATTAGTGGAAGAAAGTGGTGGCTGAAAAATTCATCACTAAATTCGTTGCTAAATTCCTAGCAAAATCCGTCACTAAACCTTGTTTTTGTGCATTTGTATTTTCTTGTTATTTTCTTTAATTCCATCAATTTGTAATAGCTTGGAGGGAGTATTAAGAAGTTGGTCAGGTATACCTAAATCCCTATAGATCACTCACATGTAGATCTAGTGGAAGTGGCTTGAAAATTTCATATGATTTCAAGCTTCCACTTAGGAAACTGACTAGCTTGTTAATCTTTGATCTTTGCTATTGTTTAATTGTCTTTAATTGTTGTATTTTGTTTGATTCGACTAGCTTGTGTAATTTCTTAATTGCTCACGTTTAGATAAAGTCAAGAGAAACTTTTAAAATCATAAAGCATTAAAATTTTTGTGAAAAGTTTTGTGGAATTGAGATTACCATAAGGATGTTTAGTAATTTCTACTTGAAAATGCTTGGTTATTAAGTGGCTCCTTGTAGCTCACCTCCTTTGATAGTGCAATTTGTATACTTAGACCTCCAAGTGCTAGTCTTATTCCTAGAAAAGTCCAAAAACATTTTCTTTTTGCATTGCATACTAAAATCTTCTTGAAACTTAACCATGAGTAATCATTCTCAAAGTGATAGTGATTTGGAATCTCTAAAAAGTTTTTCTCATATTTTTAAAGAGATGAAATCACTAAAACTTTGGAGGAAGCAAGAAGTAAAATAAAGAATTGAAAGAGAAATACAACTTGCTTTACTCGAAGAAGAAATACAAAAGGTTAAGCAAAGAGAAGCAAAACTTTTAGAAAAATTGAAACACAAAAAGAGTCATAAAAGTTCCCATGGTTCCACAAGCCAAGAGGAAGTAGGAAGTTTAAATTTGGATGAATAGTATCAACCAACTCCTAGAAGATTCATAAGAGAACCAAAGGTTAGGGAATCAAGAGTTGTATCTCCCTTCCTTTCTTGGCAAGGAAGATGTAGATGCTTACTTGGATTGAGAAATGAAAGTGGAGAAAATATTCTCTTGTCACCAAGTAAGGGAAGAAAGAAAAGTTCCCTTAGCCACCTTAGCTTTCCAAGGACAAGCTATGTATTGGTGGACAACCTTAGTTAGAGAGAGGCGACTCCATAATGATCCACCCATTGAGTATTGGAATGACTTGAGGAGTGCTATGAGAAGAAGGCACATACCTTCTTATTATAGTAGGGAGCTTATGGATAAGCTCCAAAAACTCCAACAAAAAAATGAGTGTGGAGG